CCCATCACCCCCGGTACCTCCTGTCTCCCGACACTCCAAAATCCATCCCGCTTTTGCCGGAGAGACCGTGCGGTTGTTTTGGTGTCTGGGAACGGGGAAGAAGGGGGGAGTAGGAGGGCGAAGGGGGGAAGCTGAAAAGACATGTTGGTGGAAGGGCAATTTGCATGAAAAACAGGGACGGATGATTAGGGACCCAGGCAGGGAATTCTGATTGCCCCAGAATTAAAAGACGCATCCTGCAAATCAGTGGCGAGACCAGGTGAATTGTATTTTGGCGTTTTCCTTGTAAACCCCGTCTTTTATATTTTGTTTTAAAAGTAGCAGTAATAATAAAACCGTATTTTTGCTGGCTCTGCCTCCATCAGGAGCCAAATGTTTTGCAGTGAACACGGTGCCAGCCGTATTTCATACATTAGTATATAATTCTTGTTAATTAGCAATAATTTACGTTAAGAGCATAGAAAATGTTGAGGTTACAGGTTTTATATCTGTACATTTGATCATCTTGTTATTTTCAAGAACTTTGCCTCCTATAAAATTAATTAGGTGAAATGTGGAGGTGTAATCAGCAACCTCTGAATTACCACTTCATTTCCTGGTTTTGATTGTAAATCAGCCCGGTCGGTACAGACTTTAGCAAAGTCTATTTTTGTTTAGCGCTACTTTTAACTGTCTGGTGTCGAAGCAGCGGGTTACCTTCCCCTGCTAAATAATAACTGACAGCGTCAGAAAGAAATCGGGCCGCGGGAAAACATTATAATTGAGTAATGATTATGCAGAGCTCCTCGCTAAGCCAGTTGTGAGGGGAATACGGGTCATTTTGTGTCTTTTGCTGCGGAGAGTTGGTGAGCTAGAAGTTAGATTTGCAAAATACCTTTGTCTGCGGCGTGCAGCGAGCTGCTGCTGGAATTAGTCCCGCAATAATTTACTCCCTCGGTCCGAACGCGAGGAACGGCTGGGGAGAAAAACGCCGTGCCCAGCAATCCCGCAGAAACACCCTGCTCCTCTCCCGGCTTCCCGAGGAGTGCGAAATGCACGTTGTGCGTCTTATCTTGTCGGTCTGTAAGTTTAGAAGAAAACCCCAGCGATTAAGACATTGTTTTTATTAATACGAACGTAACCTTCATATTCCTGTGGTTGACCTTACGTTAAATTAGAAGTAGTACTAGAGGCGAGAAATGATGGACTGGATCCCTGTGTCCTAGTTGGAGCTGAGGTACGGCGAGGTAGTGTGCTCTTTCAATATTATTTTACGCAGCACAACTGGGAGCTACTCCAGATCTTCCTCCTCAATATTCAGCCTAGGTAGGGTTGAAATAAATTTAACCTGAGTTCACTGGATTTTTGCACTTTATCAAAATCTGTTCCAATATCGTGCAGTCAAATTAAAATCTATTTTTTGATTCTCTGTGGCTTTAAGTTCATTAAATGTGAAATTGGCAGCCAGCTAAAGAAGGTCAGCCTGATTAACTGTTTAGGAGTTGTATTCTGTCTCACTTGCGTTACCTGGCAGTGTTTTGAGGTGGGTTGTGTTTGTAGTACCCTCTCCTCCTGCTCGCTGCTGCTAGCGTGCGTGTTGTATTGCGCAGGTAGAGGAGGACCGACACGCTGCTGGTATTTATTTTTATTTTTTTTTCCCTCCTGAAAGGCAATAGCGATGGTGACTGCACACAGATTGCCAAGGTATTTCTCTGCAAACTTAACCCAAAAAAAAAAAAAAGCCAACAGAAAAGAGAGCCGCGTCTGCCTCGTTAGAGCATCCACTGACGATTCTGTGAGCAGAAATAGCCTCATAATGAAGCTTTTTGGAGCTCATTCAGAAAATTTGTCAACTTTGACAACATTAGGCAAGGTATTTTGAGTTTAAAGAAGGCACTTCTCACTGTTGCGAGGAAATGTGGCAGTCGCTTGGCCACGCCGATTTTTAGATGCTGAGGGCCACCAGTGCTAACACGTTGAGGATAATTTAGGCATTCCTTTATCTCAGGATGAAAAAGGAAAAATGACTAATTGCCTCGTTTCCTTAAGTACTAAAAAATATCCCATCTAGCCAATATCTCTGGGTGGAATCCGTCGTGAATTTGGTATTTATTTGAATCCCGAGGAGTAGCTGAAAAGTGAGAGGTGCCTCCCCCCGCCCCGCAGGCATTTCTGCTGCACTTGCTTTTTATCGTTTCGGTTTCTGCCGTTTATTTATTTATTTGTCTCGTCCCCTCCCTCCCCCACGAATAACTCCCGGCTTTCGAATTTTTAAATTGGAAGCCGCAAACGGCCTGATAGGGATGGTGACACAAATGCATACGTATACGTATGCACGTGCGTTACAAGGGCTAGATGTGTCGCGTGTGTCGGTGCCTGGGTGTGTGCGGCCATGCGGTCTGGCTCTCCCTCTCTCTTCTTTTACACACACGCGTGCTACCTGCGCGGCCTGTATGGGGAATACGCAACGTCTATATGTTGAAACACCTTTTGTCTGCACCCGCACCCGCGTAGGTCAGGCTTCTGAATTTTAGAAAGTAGGTCTGGCTGGTGGAAAATACACACCCGTATGTGTGTGAGAGAGAGCGTGTGCCGTGCTTTTAGCCTTGAATTCACGTACATAAATAATACATCCGGCAATAAAACACCCTATTCGCTTCTCTTCGTAGTGCCACAAGAGTTTTGCAGCGTATTCTTTCAGCCTATTCATTTAATTTTGCCACCGAATCGTTCAGTCGAGTCAGAAATTTGTCCTCGTGTAGGAACACAGAGCCAGTTGCAGTGCTCGCTCTCCGAGTTCTGCGCGCTACAGCTGCTTCTGCAAAATCTCTTCCCTGTAACTGATGAATTCGTCTCCTCGCTGCCGTGCTAATAGCCGTGTTGCATGGGTTTAGTTGGGGGGGGGAGCAGGCGGACGGTGTGAGCAGGGTGTAATATTCATGAAGAG